GTACATTATTATGCGCTTATGCATGTTTGGTGTGCTCAGATGTGTTCAGCTGCATTTTGCTGTGTTCAAATATATTCAGGTGTATTCATGTGAAGACAGGTGGAATCAGGCGTCTTTAAGTGCATTCAGATGTAGGCTATTAGAGTGCGATTAGATATATTAAGTGGTGTTGTGGGTGTGTTCAGATGTGTATAAATATAAGAGATACAACAGGGCAGTATGTAGAGGATATGGATGTGCTATAAAGTCTCTTGATCTCTCTCCTGACAGAATCATTATCTCGTATCTTAGTCCTTCCTGCTGATTACACACCTGAAGGGTTACTTAATAGTAATACTCAGATGTCAATGACCAGATTAGAGTATGTTGATTGTGGTGATATTTTGCATGAATGATGTGCGTGCGTGCATGTGTGTGTGTGTGTGTGTGTGTGTACTAGTATGTTCATGTGTGTGCGTGTTTTCATGTGCGGGGTAATTTAAATACATGACTATATAAAGCCCAAAGGTTTAATGTACAAGTATGGTATTTACTATAGAGAGACAGTTTCATAAAGATGGTATCTTAATATGAAATAAATGTAGCTAATTTTCACGTTTTATTGGAATCTTCCTACTTTATAATCATCTCGAACACAAGGTATACATCCGCTGAGCTAATCTGCCTCGGCTTATAGGATCAAATCAGAGACTATCACGTAGGTAAGCAGCTCTTCACAAAACACATTAGTATAAAATTTATTATCATCATCATTGATATTTTATGCTTATCATAGTAACTATTATTATTATTATTATTATTAAAATTAATACAATAATAATAATAATAATAATAATAATAATAATAATAATAATAATAATAATAATAATAATAATAATAATAATAATGATGATAATAATAATAATAATAATAATAATAATGATAATAATAATAATAATAATAATAATAATAATAATAATAATAATAATAATAATAATAATAATAATAATAATAATAATAATAATAAATATTACCATTATATATTTTTAATTATTACGTTAGTCATTACTTCAATTAGATGAACATTGTGGGTTAAGAAACGGAAGGACGTGTGGATCAAGTGTTTATGTTCAGTGACATAAGTGGAAAGTTTCTGCAGAAGAGATCATTAATATTTGTGACATTTATGGATCTGGAAAAGTAAAATGATAGTTAATGAAATAAGTGTGGGAAGTATTGAAAATGTAAGGGACAAGTGTGACGCTCCTGAAAACAATTTAGAATTTTTGTAGGAGGAATGAAGCTTGCATTCAGAATTTATTGAAAAGAGTGAAACGATTTCTTAGCGAAAGCTGGATTACGTCAAACTCACACATAGTCACCATAGTTTAATGAATGGTGCTGTGAGAGAGGACAAAGCAGGACTAATGGAGAATCTTACTAGTTTGTTAAATACAGTAGCGATATGGGAAGTAAATGAGAGATGAGTCAGCTGCTATTGGTGAGTGAGTTTGGAGAGGTCTGCACTAGGATCGAATTAACAGTCATTGCTAACAAAACTGAATGATGACAAGATGACAATAAATAAAAAGACAATCAGGGAGAAATGAATACAAGTTTGAATGAAAATATTAACGAGGAAGGATTTTAGATATCCGAGAGTGGATGCGTCAGTGAATGGAATATTGAGTGAAGAACAGAATCACAAAATAGAAAAGGGAACGAAAACAACACAAGTATCACCAAATTTATGTATATGAAAGAGGGTGAAGATGAGGATATACACGAGAATGGCTGAGTCCACGTAACTATACCGGGTAAAAACATCAACTCTGGAGGAAAGAATATAAAGAAATAAGGCGATATGGAAATGAAAGAAGTGTCGGGGAGAGGATGAAAAGTTGATAAAGAGCGTGTATAAATAAGTAATGGAATGTTAGGAGAGAGAGAGAAAGGGAAAGACTAAAGAAGATATAGTATGATGGTGTGAAGGACGCACTAGCCGTGAACGGGAGGGACATCTCGGAAACAGTGGTGTTTGTGAATGGATGAATGAGAGGCGCAAGGGAGTGGAGTGTGTTCTTTGGGGCGGATGTACAGTAATGCTGAAGGTGGGGGGGGGGGGGGGGGATACCGTAGTATAAACAAATCTCGGGTGTAAAGGGTAATGGATGGAAGAGAAGAAAATATGTGTTTGTTATTGATTTTCACTGCTTTGCGATATTGCAGGAAGGGAAGGTCTTGTCATTAGTGAAAAACGTACTACTGTTATTATTATCATAAGATGTAGCAGTAGTAGTAGTAGCAGTAGTAGTATTAGTAGCAGTAGTAGTAGTAGTAGTAAGAGGCGTATTAGTAGTAGTGTTGGCACCAGTAGTAGTATTAGTAGTTGCTCAGTAGAAGGCAGGCGTTAGTGGCAGCTAGCAAATAGCGCTATTGATCGTGAGGCAGAGTCTACCCTGCGACCTTGGCTGGTGGTGAAGTCATGCACCAGATATGAGACATGAGACGCAAGATATAAAATCACGAGATGTATATCATTAGAAAATGTGTGGTTTGATGTATACAATATGTAACACACACACACACACACGAACGAGACGCGAGACATACGAGACACAAGAAGAAATCACGAGATAAATTGACGTGAGATCACGACACGAAACATAATGTTAATAGATTAGATAAAATAACTAGACGAAACATGAAATTAAGAGATAAAAGACATTTCACCACGAGACATGAAGAGCGACACACCCACACACACACACACACACACACACACACACACACACACACACACACACACACACACACACACCAGATATAAGAGTACGAGACGTTAAGACATAAAAGTCAAGGGACATGAGACAGAAACCCGCAAAGATACAAGCAGGAAGTTAGTTTATATTTCAGTCAGCGGTAGAGAGATAACCGCATTTATAATGTGCTGTAGCGTCGACTGATGCTCTACATTGCACCAGTCGACAGTTTTAATTTTTTTTTACGGGGATTAGCCCACCCGGGCACAGGTCACTGACCCACATGAGGGCCCGGGGGGCGAAAATGTAATAATAACATTAATTCATAGTAAATAAAATTTATAATAAAAAGTAAAATAAAATATTAATGGTAATAATAATAATAACAACACTGTGATAATAATAAATACAAAGAAATGCAAGAATGAAAAAAATCAACAGTGAGAAACGCTATATGTATGTTGTTTTGTCATGTAATAGAAACAATTGAGACCCTACAATTGTGTGTAAATGGGGCAGAAAGTCAGATGAGCAACCTGGGACTTGGTCACAATATTCGTGATGCCATATGGCAGCAGGGTCTACCATTATACAACACATTATGCTGCCAATATCTTCCCAGGCGGTAGTACCTCCCTGTTCGGTAGCTGCCTACATACAACTCCACATGATATCTTGAACTAGACTGTGAAACAAGATGGTATTAATATATTAACGTATAGTGTGTTGTTTTGAATTAATATACGAAATTCTCAACACGTCAACTATGTATTCTTATAGCCTACAGGGAATCACTCAGACGGTTCCACTAACCGCAGCCAAACATCCAGGGGTCAGACTCTAAAATTTCGTACCCTGTTTTTTTTTCTCACTGTGGTGGAGGCGAGAGAAGGCTCCCTTTACTTCAGAGTCTCTCAGTGGAACTTTCTTTTTTTGACGTTGCATCGATGAGCAAGTTAGACGCCTCCTCACATCACCAGTTACTTGTTGATATTTGTCTATGTATTTCTTTTTGTGTGTGTGCTTGTTTGTGTTACTACATGTATACCGATAATTATGTGTTACAATATGTATGTATGTATGTATGTATGTATGTATGTATGTATGCATGTATGTATGTATGTATGTATGTATGTATGTATGTATGTATGTATGTATGTATGTATGTATGTATGTATGTATGTATGTATGTATGTATGAATGTATGTATGTATGTATGTATACGATTTCGCACATGTGAGGGCGTGTGTGTACACATGGTAACTTCTAATGTCACTTCTTAATATCACGGGGATCCAGAACTTAATATCACGGGGATCCAGAAGTTAACATCACCGGGATCCAGAAGTTAATATCACGGGGATCCAGAAGTTAATATCACGGGGATCCAGAACTTAATATCACGGGGATCCAGAAGTTAATATCACCAGGATCCAAAAGTTAATATCACCAGGACCCAGACTTTTAGAGGTTCACAAGTAAAAGAATTTCTCCCTTACTGTGATATCGCATCTGACTCACTTAAGCTACGACACAGAAATTGACAATCAAAATAGCACCGAAATTGGAATAAGACTATAAAGTAACTGGGCCCACTCTATTATGCATTGCAAAGAGTAAAACAAAAATAACCTAAGAGTCTTTCAGAAACCAAGACCCTGATCTACAATGCGACAACACGATCTTCTCGAAAAATTTATGTAGATTGAAACAGTGGTTGTGAGTAAAGTGTGAGAGGTACAAGCGAATGATATTATAACTGTGCATGTTATTATTTCAGTATTTATTTGGAATTAATAAGGATTACTCTTTAAATATTACAGGTGTATTTTTTTTCATTACACATCTTACCTTATAAAAAAAATATATATGTTTTGTTTGATTCTTGTTTCTTATATCTTTCTTCTTTCTCTCTATATTTTACTCTATTTTGTCTCTCTTTCTTTTTCCTTCTATAAAGTAACGTATCATTCAATGGGTTTCTTTTTACATTGTTTTCTGTCACTTTCATTTACCCATTCTCTCTTACCACTCCTCTCTCTCTCTCTCTCTCTCTCTTACCACCCCCACCTCTCTCTTACCACCCCTGCCTCTCTCTCTCTCTCTCTCTCTCTCTCTCTCTCTCTCTCTCTCTCTCTCTCTCACCACCCCTACCTCTCTCTCACCACTCCCTGTCTCACATCATCCCACCTCCGTCTCTCAAGTTTTAGAGAGAAAAACAGACCTTAAAACCATTTTCTCTCTCTCCTCCTCCCCCAGACGAGGACTACCACCCACGCCTGCCCATCCTAGTGTGCTCGGGTGTAGGCGTGGGCTCTGGGTCCTCGGCGGTGTGGGTGCTGGTGGGTGTGGTGTACGGGGTGGCAGGGGTGGTGCAGGTGATTGCAGGTGTAGCTTCTCTGGCCCTTAACGCCACACAGGTTCACACCAGACGATACACGGTGGCCCTATGGGTGGGCAATGTGCAGGTGGCTGTGGGTGAGTATGTCTGTATTTGACTCTTTTTTCCCCCTATTAAAAGTGTTCGTGCTTGAATCATATACCTGTACTGTCAAGGTGTAAGAAGGTTGAGATACTTAACTCGGTGGGTCTGGAGTTTTATAGCAATGACGCGTTGAAACAGGATAGGCATTTCTGGATGTTTGTGAACCAGTCGAGTCTTAACGCCGTTATGGTGTTAATTATATGTATTAATATACTATATATTAGTGTGGGCGGATATGTCTTAAGATAATGTCGCATGAGAAATTCACACAAAAAATATACCAGCTGATCGGAAATGATATACAGATTGGACAACAGTTAATAAACATGATGAATGTGAAACGAGTTAGACTGTGAGATCCTAAATATGCTCCAGTTATCAAAATGACCGATACGACACATTTAACATTTAATTGTTATGAAGAAATTGAGACAGTTCTCCTTTATGCATTATCTGTAGTATAATTCTGACCATAGTGAATCCTACTGTGCCCATGTCTAGAGTATTACCAACAGTTTACAGGGCTTGAAGTCAAATTAGCATTATTTTTAACTGCATATCTGATGAAATAATACAACCATCATGCTACCAAGCCTTCGGTTTGTCTCCTACAGCCTCGTTAAACAATCTATAAGCATCAATGTGTATTTTAGTCAATACAGTAATTGAAGACGTTGTGACAGGAGCGTACTGGCAGTCAATAAGTGTGTCGATACACAGTCAATATGAATAATTTCTTTAATTCTAGATTGCATTCACGTTTATTACATGCAGTCACACTAATCCTCTGTCATAGACACAGAAATTAAGCCCGGAGTGTCGGCAGAAAAGCTGAAAAAATATGGCATTGACTTTTCTTTTTGCATTACATGTCAGACGGAAATTTGTAATGATCTTGGAGAAAATCCTTCTTCCCAAGAAAAACATATCGAGATTTATAAGCTCCTGAAATAAATGGTCGTTTTGATAATGTAATACATCAAGATCTCGCTAAGTCTAAATTATGGCACAGTAGATGCTAGAGTACCGTGAAGCAGTGTACACGATACTGTGTTAACGTGGCAAGGAATGATATATATATGAACAACAGTTAGTCGTGATGGTTACCAGCGGTTCACTCAAATGCAGGATGCACTTTCATTCGTACACTGCAGTCATTTCTGGTCGACAAAAACCTGTGCTTTCTCCCTAATGGTATAGTTTCCTTTCAGGAAACTCTGCACAAATGGCGGTTGTCCCTTAAAATTGGTTGATTTTCGACAGTTTTGAGGTGAAAAACTCACTGATGATGGCCACTCACATCCAGAGACAAGGATGTCAACTAGCAGGGTTTTATCACGTCACTGACATAACAAACACTTCCATTGCCAGGTTACCAGTGGATAGACTACCTTCACACACACACACACAGATAAAGATGGAACTAACTAACTACATTGCAGACACGATAATGAAAGCTGTTCAATCTAATCAGCACTGTATGGTCATGATTTGCAGAAGTTAATGAAAAGATACACATAAGAACATGAGTTACCTGGACAGTTACAAAAATGCTGCCACCAAGGTATTGCTGCATGCTGTGGATACAACAGCTCTTGAGGAACTGATATGCTTGCCCTCTTCCTCTGATTCTATCCAGATGTGCGGTGAAGATAATTCCTTTGTGATAGCGACAGCACAAATGTGACGTGCGATCCCCCTTAAAGCCCTAGTTAAGGTTCTTTGACCCAATAAGTTGCAGTCCCTCCTGGTCATCATGCGCTGAGTGGGACTAATAGCACTAGCAACTTTGCAAGAAAAATGAACCACTATTACTACCACTGTTTCTAGGTTTTCTACTGTTGTTATTACCACTAGTGTCAGTGCTTCTACTGGGGCTTATGCTGTACTGCCTATTACTAATACAACTGCTCCCATCTTTAATATTAATTCTACTAATTCACTATCAGGTTTACTGTTACATCTCACGTTATCTCCCCCAGTACTGTTACATCTCTCGTTCTCTCCCACAATAATGTTACATCTCACATTTTTTCCCACAGTAACGATACATATAAGGTTCTCACCCCTAATAATGTTAAATTACATGTTCTTTCTCCCACAGTTATGTCCCAGGGGGTGGCGCTGGTATTGTTCCCCTTGGGCCTGGGGTCCCCTTTGGCGCGAGGGGAGTGTGGAGGGTCGTCTTCGGTCTACTGGTCGGGAGAATGTAGTTTTGGATGGTCGTACATGCTAGGGATCGTGGCCACCACCCTCGCCGCCTACTGCCCTTGTCTAGCACGACTCACCATCTTCAGGAGATACGCTCTCAAAGAATGGGAGAGCATCAACTTCTACTGAGGGATGACCTGCAAGTGTCTGAGGTACTGAGTATGCATGACAAACGATACTGGATTCTGTTTTGGAAGGTAAAGGGATCCAAGATATGGACGGAAATGATATACGCCATCCTGGAAGTATTTGGAAGGACCTCGAAGATGCAGGAATGGCCTTCAGAGACGGTCAAAATCCTAAAAAAAATTCTAAGGTTAAGGATCAACATTTTCAGATCTCATGAATGAAAACGAGACCTAAGGGATTGTAGAAGTGTATGGAACGGCGTCGGACGCGGAAAAAGCTGTATTTTCTCCTGGAGATTGGAAGTGCCTAAGAAATCACAAGCAAGAACCAGATCCAGAGCGTCTTGGAACTGTCTAATAAGTGCGGAAAGAACACTTAACATTGTCCTAAAGATGCAAGTCTTGGAAATACTCTAGATGTCTAAGGAGTACAAGATCTTCAAAGACTGGAAGATCATTCATTTTCCTCTTGGGCTCAAAGCTTGAGAGAAGCTACGAGAAAGTGAGAGAGCCATTGTGTCCTAGATGTATCCGACTAGTACTAAGGGTGCAAAGCAGGTCCTAAGAGACAGAAAGGCCAATGGTTCCTTTCTTTAAAATGTTAAGTTGTGGAAGATAACACTATCCACCAGCTCAAGTTTCTTTTAATCATTATGTTCTGATAGGATAGATTAGGTTGAATTAGGCCTCGTTAGGGTAAATTAGACCAGACTAGGTTAGATGACGTTAGCAAAGGCTTCGTTAGCGTATTAGCTTAAGTGGGATATTATCCAACAGCCTCGATGACCCAGACATTGTAATTCACGATACAGAGCTTCTCGAAACGATGAGACTTAGTACCTCACAATGATATTCTTTAGTCTCTCTTCTCTAGTATAAAACAGATACATATGACTTACAGTGAGTACAATATTTAGAAACCAAATATACATCAAACTTTTGTCAGTAAGATGTTTTATTTGCAGAACAGATGATCATCATAAGCAACGTGAAACAGTAATGATTCACTGTCTTGTTTTACGAGTATTGCTTTGTACTCTTATTTATTCACGCACAGATTATCTCTTTCTACGTTTATGTATTCATCTATCTGTCTATCTTCTCCTCTTTCCTCACCGCCCCCCCCCCCGCTCTCTCTCTATCTGAACACTGTACAGGAGTAAGAATCCTCAGCTGAAGGGTCATTTGTACTCAGGATGCTTAACATTTCACCTCTCATATTTTAGATTATTTTATTCTGATTTATCCAATGTTTTTCTTGTATTTACCTGGTCATTTATAGTATAAGGGATTTGATTCGTTCATTCCCGGGATATTTACAGGAATCTCACTGCACAAAAACTCAGGCCGTTATGTACAACGATTCTGTTAGCCAGTAAATGGTGCGGCCATTATTATTATTCAGGTTTGTTTTCCAAGAAATTGGCATATCCTACATCCTTTCTTAAACACACACACACACATATAATATATATATATATATATATATATATATATATATATATATATATATATATATATATATATATATATATATATATATATATATATATATATATATATATATATATCATGTAAATCTACAAAGGAAACGTGGATAAAATAAATCTTGATAAAATCACACAGGAAAAAGGGAAACAATGGAGGACCTTAGTTTTCGTCTTTATTCAAGACCACTATGCCCCAGTCATAACAGGATTATATGTAACCCAAACTTAATCCCATCCTTTAGGATTGGGGTTCAGACCAAACAGGCTCCAGTCCTAATGAATGGGCCGGATTCGGTTGAGGCCTATTAGGTCTGGGGCGACAGTTGTCCAGTTGATGTGCAACTATATAATACAGCCTATGTTACCTGTGTCACCCAGTACAGCCTTATTCTCTCATCCATGATTCACGTTCTTGAAAGCTCAACTAGTTAACGAAATACTTCACTAATCTGTGTATTCTGCTTTACTAATAAACATAGTAAATGAGACATACGTGTTTCATAATTTATACATTTCCTACACGTGATACAAACAAATATTTGATATATGTGACAAATAATATTACACAATTTAAAACAATTTGAATTATTAACTAACAATACATAGATGATGAAGCTATATTAGTTTTTGTGTTGGTAATCTATGAATGTTGTACTGTACTTTGGAAACGACCTCCTTATCTACACTTGGGAATGGAATAATACGGTAGAGGAATACCCCAAAAAGGTGCACACAAGTATTACACATTTGACTGGTGTTTTTTGGTGACATTTGTCCAAGTTAATATGAATTGAATCACGTGGAGCTTGGATGATGAGTACGGTAAATATGTAAAACAAAGGTGTCGTCCCTCTGCTTAAATCCTGCACAGTCCTTTCCAACCTTCCCCACGACTATAGTTGTGACTCCTCCATCCTCATGTCTGGCTGTGCCTTGAGCCCCAGCATGCCTTCCACCCTTTCCACCTGTCTCTAAAAAAAAAAAAAAATAGGTCTAAGGACAGTTGTCCAGTTGATGTGCAACTATATAATACAGCCTATGTTACTCCAAAGTCACCCTTAATAGCCTTATTTCTCATCCATATCTACGTTCTTGAAAGTTTCAAATTAGTTAACGAAATACTTCACTAATTCAGGGTATTCTGTTTACTAATAAAACATAGTAAATGAGACATACGTGTTTCTAATAATTTATACATTTCCTGCTAATGTGATACAAAACAAATATTTGATTACATGTGACAAATAATATTAAGGTACAATTTAAAACACTTGAATTATTAACCAACAATACATAGATGATGAATATATTAGCTAAAGAGTAAATTTGCGAGAATGTTGTACTGTACTGAAATGACCTCCTTATCTATTAATTTGGGAATGGAATAATACGGTAGAGGAATAATCTCAAAAGGTACTACCGTTATTACATATTTTGATTGGTGTTTTTGGTGACATTTGCATTAATATGAATTGAATCACGGAGCTTGATGATGAGTACGGTACACTATTATTCCGTTTCAGTGTTCATTATACAATAGAGGAGGAAACATTCTTCATCATCCAATCATTCAACAGATAAGGAAACATTTTTCATCCTACAACAGAGGAGGAAACATTCTTCATCCTGCAACAGAGGAGGAAACATTCTTCATCCTGCAACAGATAAGGAAACATTCTTCCTCCCGTAAAAAATATTTGTTCTGATGTGTTGTTATTATTAATTTTTTAGTGTGTGTGTGTGTGTGTGTGTGTGTGTGTGTGTGTGTGTGTGTGTGTGTGTGTTTCCTATGATGATGTTCCAAATTTGATTAAAAACCGTATCCTTTCGTGATTGACAGGGAGGATATCACTCACTTTCGCATTATATTAAGTACCTCTCTCTCTCTCTCTCTCTCTCTCTCTCTCTCATATCAGTTTATCGAATAGTTCTTCACTTACGAACGCAATGAACATCATGACCAACTTTCCACTGATTTAAAACTTTACTCTTCGATCACTTTGGCGGCAGCAGTGGCTCTGTCTCTCTCTTTTCTCCTCTTGGTGCTGTAACCTTGTCATGACCTTAGTCGTTACTGGAGTAAACTGTACCCACAGAAAACGGCAATGTAGAAAAGAGACGAACAGTTAAAGAAGAAAGAAATTATGTCAGAATTAAAAAAAAAAGAATAATATATGGTAATGAAAACAGGTGTATCCACAAAATAAGACGAATAAGAAGTAGGATGGGTAAGAGAGGCGTGCGAGGAAGGGGAAGAAGATAAAGAAATGGGAGTGTTAGGAAAAAAGGAAGGCAAGTAGGAGAAGAAGGTGGTGAAGGAGGCAGCCATCAGAATGAAATGGGGACTAGTAGCAGGCAGTAATTAAAGAAGTTCTGGCCATAAAACAAGAAATATTTCAGTTCTGGTGCATGACACTATGAGAGACCTTCACCAGTGTTATATTTTCTTACACACAAGCGAGTTTTCGACAACATCATAATCTCTCCATGCAATACAAACTTGTACTGTACATTTGAGTAAGAATATCCATATACGTACATACATAGATTGTTCACCCATGTACAAAATAATACTTATAGAAATACTACACTTACATATTATATTTTGTTATATTATTTAAAAGTTATCATTTCACACAACAGTAAAATCACATTGTTATTATGTGTCAAGGAGCCTCAAGTCATACTGAATTGTCAAGTTATCCGAGCTACTCAGGGAGCGTTGTTCTTGATCCACCCCTGGTTACGTCTTGTGAGCAGCAGAGGCACATCATGCATTTCCATTACACATTGTAAACGTATTTCACCATTACTGTCTTCATTCTCCTAATAAATTTCAATGTCAAAAGAGAGAGAGAGAGAGAGAGAGAGAGAGAGAGAGAGAGAGAGAGAGAGAGAGAGAGAGAGAGAGGAGAGAGAGAGAGAGAGAGAGAGAGAGAGAGAGAGAGAGAGAGAGAGAGAGAGAGAGAGAGAGAGAGAGAGATATCCACCGCATACAGCTGTTCACTCTAGCGGCTAATTGCAGAGTTATTTCATTGCCGTGAATAACCACCCCACACACAGGTAATAATACCCAGCACGAGCAGTCAGTGCAATAACCATCCCAGAATTCCTACAACGTCCATGCTTGATAGCCATGTAGCCATGAGCTGGGAGAACTACGTATCCAAGGAGCCCAGCTCATGGCTACATATATATACACACACACGCTCCGTGACAGAAGAAAGTGTAACGTAATACAGTGTAAGATGTCGGTAAAATGAATTTACTTTCATATATTCATGCAAGAAAATATCTAATTCATTAAATCAGATGGAAAGTTAAGATAGACAGTTCCAACAGTCTCATACGGTGGTTGACACATACTCCTTGTAAGAAATTATAACAAGTCAAAAGCAAAGATGGCAATAGATCATAGTATTGTATAAGCCACAGATCGACACAAAGCTCATACGAATTATTTTCTTTAGTGTAGATCGAGGCACAATACTGTACATACAAGAAGTCTAGCGAAAGCATAAACGCAAAACCCTAGGCTACTCAAGAAGGCCTGGCAAAACTATTACTAAAACTTGCAGCAATGACCAAACGTCTGGTGGGCGTAAAGTAGTGATTGCTGTTACTGTTATTCTTTGTTATATTTTGAAGCTTCAAATGTCAAGATTGCAAAACATCATTTACGTTTACTACTCTCACTATATCACGACTAATAACTTTTAAAAATCCTCAGCAAGGCTGTGGGTTTAGCTTCACGGTATAAGTAGGTACAATGTATCGATTTCATTAACACTTTTACCTTCCTCTCCTACCTCCTCCCCCGACCAGGCGAAGAAGTACCGGTAACCTTTCACAAACCTCTTGGACATCGACCCAGCTTGTCTCGCTCTATTGTTTCTGTAGGAGACTCAAGATGCTGGCGGAGATGAGAGTGATACTGGATACAAAGGTCCTGATCAGTTTCACCTGGGACGGCTGGCTCTAACAGAAACGAATATAAGTTACAGCATATGTGTGTGTGTGTGTGTGTGTGTGTGTGTATTAACACACACACACACTAACGGTTTATTGAAGTTCTGCAGCCCAAGGCTGAAAAATATACATTACATAAATGACTTATTACATACATTGGTGGTTTAACAAAAGCTTCCTATTAGAGAAAGGTAAAGGAACATACAGTGAACATACAGATTAATGTAGGTGTTGATTGAACAGCAAAACGTAGTGTAGTAACTCCTCCCAGATGGTGTTAGAGGACTCTCACGTGGTAGTAGTTCCCCATACAGATGGTGTTATGAGGGCCCCACGTGGTGTGGTAGTACCCTCACAGAGGGTGTTAAGGAGGGCCTCACGGTGTGGGTAATTCCTCACAGATGCTGTTAGAGGGCCTCACGTGGTGTAGTAATTTCACAGATGGTGTTAGGAGGGACCCCACGTGGTGTAGTAATTCCCTCACAGATGGTGTTATGAGGGGCCTCACGTGGTGTAGCAATTCCCTCACAGATGGTGTTATGAGGGGCCTCACGTGGTGTAGCAATTCCCTCACAGATGGTGTTATGAGGGGCCTCACGTGGTGTAGTAATTCCCTCACAGATGGTGTTATGAGGGGCCTCACGTGGTGTAGTAACTCCTTCACATATGGTGTTATGAGGGGCCTCACGTGGTGTAGTAATTCCCTCACAGATGGTGTTATATGAGTGAGGTGTGGTTCCAGGCCTTCCTATCGTAGACGGATTAACACATCGCTGGTAGTTGGGTCTCACAGGCCGTTATCACTGGGTACCTGGGACCTCACTGTGTGAAAGGTCAACTTGGGTACCACTGTTACTGTTGAGTTGTTCTCACTGACTTAAGCACTGTTCACCACTGTTCACCTCTGTTTAACACTGGTTCCATTTCTTTCCTAAATGAAATAGTAACTTCTGGCGTGAACTTGTTGATATTCCGGTGGGGAGGAGGGTTCAGGGGAGGGAGTTGGTATGGGCCAACATAACAGTTGACCTGGCTGCTCCGAGAGGAGCGCCAGGTACGTCTGTGTGTGTGTGTGTGTGTGTGTGTGTGTATGTAAGACAATTTTTAAGTTATTATAAGTATGTTTTTCATGTCGTCCATACACACATATTGACCGTCAGACCACACACACACACACACACACACACACACACGCGCGCGCAGAAAACATGAACATACAGTATACAGTATATGCATACACGGATACACAAATAAATCCATACAATCATACACTGAGATACACATTAAAGACGAGCACATACAACACAAACATATACACACACAGTCAAACGTACCACGGCTCGTAAAATATACCCAAACTTCTTTAAAATAGAAAGTCCATACTGCAGAATAAAAGCTACCGGCTCGCCTCCAACGTCTAACCCAGTGATAAGATAATACAATTTTGTACAGCAAGACGACGTCGGGTCTACACGAAAGCCTATAAAAAAAAAATCCGACGACCCGCACACAGAATAATTTAAGTTGCTCTTCTAGAATTCTCAAAAAGTCGTACGTCATTTTTTATAAACTTAACTAGTGACGAGGAACGGTGTCTTTGTAGAGTTATTCTCCTACTTGGATAAAAAGAGTAATGTGTGTGTGTGTGTGTGTGTGCGTTAAAAATAAAGCACGTGAAACGCAAAAACTTGCAGATCAAAACAAGAAATGCGAACTTTTCAATTCCACTAAAACATTTTCTGGGCCAATCACTCATGGAGCATCCCCCCTCCTCTCATCCGAAGGTAATGCCCTAATTAAAGACGAAGAAGACATCCATCAGTGCTGGAAAGAGCACTACCGAGCTCTGCTCAACCGAAATGTGGATGTCCTGAATACCCAGCTGGTCCCTCAGCACCCAGAGCTGACCCACCTCAGCTATCCTCCATCCATGGATGAGGTAGATGTTAGAAATGGAAGGAAAGTAATGAGCGGGATAGGGAAGATAACAGAAGGGAAACGTTGCATTTCTCTAAATATATCTTCGCCTTTTCCCAAGTTGTTGATAATGAAACAAATTTTTTTATTGACACCGACACAATTTATTTAGCCAGAAAATGCACATACAGAGTGGACAATAATAAAATTTTTGGCATGGCTGAGCCAATTGAGAGCCTGAGCTCTCTTAGTGGCACCTGATATTATATACTATACATTTATCTCAAGGAAGTATGATATAATATTTAGTATCATCTGTTCCTCCGCCTCTTAATAACTTAATTATGAAAATATTCATCGTAAATGAGGCAGCCAGGATATTATGAATAGTAGAATACCAAGTTCCGTATAACCGATAATATTTTTAGATAGTGTTAGATATTTCTATTTCTAGTGCCACAGAAAGCGGATAGACTCATTGAAAGAGATTCTAAAATAATATGAGTGTATACTGGTGAGGCGATCGACCACTGTGAATTCTAATACAGACAAAAATGATTACAACAGTCAGAATCTTTGTTAATGATAAGGAATATGATAATGGTTACTAATGATAAGGTACGTGTTATTTGATGTTAAACGTACAATAAATTTCTGTGGAATAGGGTGACTAACAGGTACTCATAACGACACCAAGTGACTAACAGGTACACATAACGACCTCAGGTGACTAATAGGTACACATAACGACCTCAGGTGACTAACAGGTACACATAACGACCTCAGGTGACTAACAGGTGCACATAACGACCTCAGGTGACTAACAGGTACACATAACGACACCAAGTGACTAACAGGTACACATAACGACCTCGCTTTTCTGAGGAGGATGTTATGAATCTTAAATTATCTGTCAAGAAACAACAATATCTTGAGAGGAAGGTTGTTATCTGAGAGTAACAAATGCAAGGAGGCTCTTACCCTCTCCTCCCCAGTCCACCCACTACCACATACAGACCGGCCTGCTTTCCTTCCTGGACTGACTGGACTGATTGGACTTACATTAAAAAATTAATTTTATTTGACTCTCTGGTTACTGAATTATGACATTGTTATGAAATGTCACCAGATGATGTCTTACTTCATACTTGAACTTGTATTACTTTATATATTTCTTAATAAAGTTCCTAAATTTGAAAGTAATTTACGGCTTCAGAGATTTTTTCAGAGGACAGTTTTAGTACAGTACAACGTTTCTACAGTAGCGAGCCGCTTCCACCCTAACATTTAATTTAGCTCCATTGTTTATTTTTATAAGTGATTGTTGTTACTATATCTGCAATTAACTTAACAGTTCAACTTCTCTCCGCTGAAGATTCGGATAATGTCATTTGAACTTTTATTGTTTTAATCGTTTGCTTTTGAATACCAACACATACTTGTGTTTTGTTTTACATTGTTATATGTTTCTAGATTGTTCTGGCGATTGTTCCTTCGATAACCGAAAAGTTATGTGATAGGGAAGTGTCAATATGTTCATATTTATCTCAGCCTGGGGTCTTACTATGGATTTTATATATATATATTTTACACACACACACACACACACACACATATATATATATATATATATATATATATATATATATATATATATATATATATATATATATATATATATATATATATATATATATACAGTATATATATATATATATATATATATATATATATATATATATATATATATATATATATATATATATAATATATATACAGTATATATATATATATATATATATATATATATATATATATATATATATATATATATATATATATATATACATATATATATATATATATATATATATATATATATATATATATATATATATATATATATATATATATATAGTTTATAACTAAGTCTCGACGCAAGACCGACACATGACTGGGTCTTAAACTCGGAACAGTTACCAGATTCTCAACAATTGCACCTTGTATTTTTGTTTATCTTTTCCCTTGTTAAAAAAACATAAATTGCTCCGTAAAGCTGTCGAATTATTTCAGCTCTTATGTTTACGAAGCAAATTAATTGAACAAGTGGAATACGGTCTTGTATCTCCAAATTTATTGGTCAAAATTATCCCATGCAGCACTCCGTGACGTCATCACCTTTTCTTGTTGCAGAGGAGGAGCCAGACGTTGTAACCTTGAGCTATTCTTTATTTAGAAGAGCAGTCTGGCGTGTGGTGAATGGTGATCAGTGTCCCGTGAGCTGCAGGTATAGATACGTTGCGTTCGATAATACTTGCCTTCTACTATACCTCTTCTACAAGAACTTGTACTCAGATTCTTTTGGGAAATATCCTTCAGGTTTGAGGTATAACTAATTGGTAAGGAAAGTGTGTGCTTTTTTTTTTTAATTCAGTTGACAGTAATATCATCATTTTGGGAATCCCTCTACAAAATCATATATATTCAGTAAAATTTGGTTACGTTTCTTGAAATATTTCTCAAAAAGCCAAGAATTAAAGATATTGGAATCAGAAAAAT